ATTGCTGAATGACAGTCTTTTGTATCTGTTTTTCCAGCCTAGTTTACTGAGATTTCTGCAGGTGGGAGGGTGTTGTGCATATTGACCCAGAAACAAGCATAAGATAAAATGTTCCTTAATTGAAATTCTTTCTCTTTTAAGTTTAATCACTGATGAATTTTCATAATATTACAATCTATGTATTTTGAGGCTGCAAAAGAAAACAAAGGAACAGAGATTATGGTTTTCAGGAGGAGATCTTGATACCAGGATCACAGAATGGTTGAGGTTGGAAGGGACCTCTGGAGGTCACCTGAGCTGACCTGCTCAAGCAGGGTCACCGAGAGCCACTTGTCCAGGACCATGTCCAGATGACTTTTGAATATCTCCAAGGATGGAGGCTTCACAACCTCTCCGGGCAACCTGCGCCGGTGCTCGGTCACCCTCACAGTAAAAAAGTGTTTCCTGATATTCAGACAGCACCTCCTGTGTTTCAGCTTGTGCCAGTTTTCTCTGATCCTGTCACTGGGCACCGCTGAGCAGAGCCTGGCTCTGTCGTCTTTGCACCTTCCCTGCAGGTATTTACGTATATTGATGAGATCCCCCTGAGCCTTCTCTTCTCCAGGCTGAACAGTCCCAGCATTCTCAGCCTTTCCCAATAGGAGACTTGCTCCAGTCCCTTCATCATCTTACTGGCCCTTCATTGGACTCACTCCAGTACATCCATGGCTCTTGTGTGCTTGGGAGCCCAGAACTGGATGCAGTACTCCAGGTGTGGCCTCATCAGTGCAGAGTAGAAGAGAAGGATCCCCTCCCTTGGCCTGCTGGCAATATTTTGTCTAATACAGCCCAGGATACCCTTAGTCCTCTTTCCCACGGGGGCATGTTGCTGGCTCATGTTCAACTTGGTGTCCACCAGGACCCCCAGGTCCTTTTCTGCCAAGCTGCTTTCCAGCTGAGTGGCCCCCAGCATGTACTGGTGCCTGGGGTTGTTCCTCTCCAGGTGCAGAATTTTGCAGTTCTCCTTGTTGAACTTAATGAGGTTCCTACCAGCCTGTTTCTCCAGCCTGTCGAGGTCCCTCTGGTTGGCAGCATGACCCTCTGGCATATCAGCCACTCCTCCCAGTTTGGCGTCATCTGCAAACTTGCTGAGGGTGCACCCTGCCTCATCATCCAGGTCATTAATGAAGATGTTGAACAGGATTGGACCCAGTATTGACCCCTGGGGTACACTGGTAGTTACTGGCCTCCAATTAGACTTTGTGCCACTGATGACCACCCTCTGGGCCCAGCCATTCAGCCAGTTTTCAGTCCATCTCACTGTCTGCACATCCAGCCCATACATCAACAGCTCCTGTATGAGGGTCTTATGGGAGACTGGGTCAAAGGCCTTACTAAAGTCCAGGCCTTTGACACTGTTTACCATAAGATCCTCATTATGGGTCCCTCATTATTTCTCTTTTGCTGGGTGCTTCTACCATCTTTGAGAGGCCATACTTAAGCTTGGCTACACTCAACGTGCTGAGACATTCCTGGCATCTGAGACTTGGGATGTTCACAAGAAGACAAACCTGTTTCTGCACAACTTTGAATGCGTGCCTGTTGAATAGCATTAGATTATCAGGTTTTTTTGCTAGAACATTTCTCCAGTTTGTTGATGGAATTCTAACTTCTCCTTAGTATGCTTCCTGGCCTTTGCAGCATGACAGCACCTCTGGACTTAATCAGCATATTCCTTATTCCATCATCCAAATTTTTAAAATTATCTGTTAGAGCCAGACGAAGGAAAGACCCAATCCAGAATGTATCTTTACATTTTTCACAGTGAGCTCTCTAGTACTCTTACTGTAGTTTTCCAGCTTGTTATTTGTACCCATTCTATAATAACTTCATGCAGCTCATATTTTTTCTGGCATATTTCACACTGTCTCCAGTGGTATTCTCATGCTTTCATGAAGTCAAGGTATAGGATGTTTAGAGGATTGCTTTCATTGGGAAGGCCCTTTTTTTTCTGTCCAAGTTAGAAATTATACTTAGTTTGATATAAATGGCTAAAATATGTCTTTGCCAAACAATTAATTATACCCTTTTATGTTTTAAGAGGGCCATCCAGAAAATATTTTGTCTAAGTCGTTTTTTTCTGGGTAATTTTGACCAGTCATCTTAGCTTTGTTTCTTTAGCTTATCCTTTCATATCTCTTTTCCTCTTTAAAAGTAGGCATGTAGACATTGTTTTATTTTATTTCAAGCTTCTGGATTCTCATGTGTTTTTCGTGATTTCTCAGTGGTAACAGTTGAGGTTACTCTGGGTTGTATAAGACCTGTTGGAGTAAATTTAACCAGTCATTGTAATTTAAAACAGATTAACTTCTCTATAAATTCTGTGTCTTGTAGTTCACTATTTTTGCTTTTGTTCTTGCTCTCTTTCTGCTCGTGTTGTGCTTGCCATCTGATTGCAGCTGACCTCTTTGTGAAAAAATGAAGCAAAAAGACACAGAACACTTCTGTTTTCTTGGCATTTTCCATTTTCTTTCCCACTGAGTATTGGAATAACTCCTTCCTTGTTGCTGTTCTTACTAATATACCTGTGGAATTATGGGGTTTGTTCTTTACATACATTACCTTTTCTTGTTTTGTGATGTGACCTTTCTGAGTTTGTTTCTGTACGAGTGTGCTGCTTTTACACTTGTCCTTGATAATTTGACCTAGTTCCTTTTTTCCTATTACTCTTACGTTTTGAGTCATCAAAGCATTTGTGAATCGCCAGCTGGTCTCTTACTATATATACTTCCCATTATCTTTCGTGTTAAGATAGTTTGTATTTGAGTACTGAATATTGCTTCTCTGAGCAGTGCTTAGTTGTCTGGACTTCTCTCCACCAGAATTTGATTCTGGGAAGAAGAAAACTCTCACTAGAAGAAAGTATACTTCAGTAAACTCAGCGAAGTCCATTGGCTTTGTTCACTGTTCTCCCTTTTACACTTACCAAGAATGACTGATAGTCATTTTGTGAACACAGTCAATCACTTTGCCTTCCATCTTTGCATTCTCTCAGCTCATTTATTTCTATATTTAAAAAAACCAAACAAACCAATACTGAATTTCAAGAACTGGCTGAACAGTCTGTTGTATTGCAGAGTCTGAAGAGTTGAAGAGCTCCTTCAAGGGATGTATTTAGGACAGATTCCTTTTATTCTTAGCAATACTCTTAGAACGAATTTTGAAGCCCCTTCCTCTATGAATTGCAACACTCAGTTGTTCTTCTGTATAATTGATGTGAGCTGCAGTTTCCTCATTGCATTATTTTTTCTTTTAGTTGCAATGTTTCTTTAGTTTAGTCATTATGTATTTTGTATTTCTATGTTTTGTTTCGGTATTATTGAGATGCGTATGACTTCTTTCCTTCAGAAGGCTTTCTTTTAACTTCATAACATCTGCACCTCTGATGTTAAGTCTTACCTGCGAGGACATGATTTGGAGTGGAGGGAGAAGGAACGAATGCCTACTAGGTATTGCAATGATGAATCTCAAACATACTAATATTTGCTCTGTTGAAGCTTTAAGTCTTAAGTAAGAAAGGAGTACTAGAAGCAAACTCAAAACCTGTTCTTCCACATATTTTTATGAAAACTTCTGCTCTCTGCCACAAAGAAGTAGTCTGCTTCAAAATGAGAGAGGAGGCCCATGTCAGCAGATCCTTTTTACACTTGAGGTTATGGTTTATATCTGACCCAACAACATCTGAGCTAGTATACTAGTTTCCCTTTATAATCAGTTAAGAGAGCAAGCTACTTCTCTGAAAGGTGGACAACTGCATTTAATTAGGTAACTTAATCCCTAAAGGTGTCCCCTTCTTTCAGCCAGTTAGAAAGGAAGCCTAGTATGCAAGTTTAGGTGTAGGTGCCTACTTCTGGTGAAATTAATCTTAATTCTGCCATCTACCCTTTCCATAGACCATTGTTGCAGTTCTGTTTAAGTACTGAGGGTCAAACCTGCATTAGCAGTAGGGAAGAACTGCTCTAGAGATCAAAGAAAGTAGGAAAGGGATTCAGTCAATTAATGTGGAGTTCAACTTTGTTTTTTCACGTGCCAAGTCAAAGATTGATTCTTGTGATACTTGTAGAGGCCATGTTGCTTGAATCAAGAAACTGCCTCTGAATGAGCAGTGTGCCTCCCTCTGTTGCTTGCACCTGTGGAGTAGAGGTTGTGACAGATATGTTTTTATGTGAAGTACCCGTGTACTCTGTGTGTGATAGTACCTTGGTTGAAGTAGGGCTTATTGTTATATTAATCTCAGAAATGCCTGCTTGTAGTACCCAAAATCAGCTATATGGGCAGTCTTTAAAGACTCTTTGAGTAGAAGCTGTAGTTACTCTTGATCTCTTAACCCCAGATTTCCTCACCCTGCTGTAAAACTGCTTCCCGAGTGCAAGAACTAACTGCTTTTCTGCTCAGATGCTGAAATTTTTGAGCTCCATGGTATTCCATTGCCGTGCTAATGAAATGACATGAGGTACTCGCTAAATGCAGCAGCCCTGGAGAAGCCGCTCATTGTGCCTTTGTAGATTAGACTACAGTTAAAACAGTTTGCGTGTGTGACACTTCATGTGTAACCATTAGAAAGAATTTCTTATTCTTACGGTAGCTTGGAAGAGAGTGGCCAGTAATGATAGAGCTCTAGCTAAGGATAATAAATGTGTCTAAATATTGGGAATTAACCTTTGCAGATAATGAATTGTGGAAACTATGTGAAGCTTCTGCCATTCTAATTAATCTGGCTAAAACGTCTAGCAAATAGGGAGATTTCTAATGTCTCTGAGAATAGAAAATGACTGCAATAAAGGGACAAATGCCAGCATATTGCAGGAGGTGCCCTATGCTTTTTAAGTCTGTGTATCCAGATCTTAACTGATAGAAAAGATTGTGATTAAATGCTGTATATTTTTAAAACTCTAATTTTAATTTTGATTTCTAACTTTAAATGTATAAACCTAATGTTATGGCATGCTTTATTTTGACAGATAAGGAAGGACATAATTTTTCTATATTCTGGGTGCTGGTGAGTGTTATCCTAGGTGCGATAGCCATGCTGTGCAAAGAACAAGGAATTACAATACTGGTAAGAATCCTCTTATTGACTGAATTTTGACCTCAGCATCTGTCAGGTGCAGTTGTAAAGCCTACAGAGATGAATCTTCTCCACAGCTAATTGCATGCATGCCTTTTTGTCCTGTTCAGAAAACTAGTTAATGTTGACAAAAAGCAGTATTCTAGTAGATCTGTCTTGATTGTATCCTTGCCAATCTGTTGGAATTCTTCATTTTATCTTTTGTAAGCAGGTTGCATTTATATGTTAATTTTTTGCAAAATTTAAAAAGATTTAGAGTGTTTGTTTCAATGTATATCACATTTGTTGGCCTTGGTTTTGAATTTAGTTGTCGAGATAGCAGGCCTACAAACCTCTTGTTGAAGGCTTATGAAAAAAGATATAACTGCAGGAGAGCATTTTTAAAAGCTCCACCCTCTTGCTTTTGTGAACAGTGTAAATAGAAGTAGGGCCATTGTTCATGCATTTCTAATACTGAATCTCTTCCTTCTGTCCCTTATTTAAGGATCTGTCTATCCAAACAGATACAGTTAGTGTTCATGTTCATTGTGCTCTTGCTTTTTATTGCTTCAGTGAAGACATTCTGTTTTGGGTGATGAAATCGGCCACCTGAAGTGCTACATCTGTGATTTTTACCTTTTGTATAGCCATATATCTTTATAAATAAATCCGATTTATAGCTTTAACTGACATAGATAAAGCAACAGAATCAGAAGAATTCTTTGCAGCAAGGACCCTCTTGTCCTTGCTAGAAAAAAAAGGGAGAAGAATTACAGAAAAATTCTTGCTTTAAGACATTATTTTTGGATGGATGTTTGTAGAGTGACGTATTTTTCAAAGGTGTCTGTAAGGAAAACATAAGGAATTCTCTTAAAACATGGTGTGATTATTTCCTTTAGTGGTATGAAATAATTATTTGAGCTAGCAGACACAGAATTGTTATTGGATCTGGGTTTTTTATTTGTTTGCTGTTGCATTGCAAGGATGACTATATTTATTGTTGTGCTGAGGGGCACGGGTCAGAGAGATGAAGGGGTAAATCACACGTTAAAAAGATTGCTTGTAGGCTGAATGTATTTTTCAGCAGGATTCTTGCCTTCCTGTGTCCATGCAAGTGAGCCAAAAGCCTTTAACTGCCAGGTGGTGTTTCTACGTAGAACTCTCCACTCTCTAGCCTATTTTCTGTCTTCTCCCTTTGACTGTTAGAAAGAGACTTGTGGCCTCCCAGTGTACTAACTCTTTGCCTCATCTGGAACTATTTTTACTGTCTTTTTTCCATTTAGAACTTTGAGGTAATTTCCAAAGTTATTAGGATATAGGCTAAATATTCAAGGATTATCATGGCTGGTGATTGCTGAAACGTTGAAGGGAAAAGGCTGAAGTTGGATTTTGCTGGTCCTCTCAACAGAATTACCCCGGATACATTTTGGTTGCTTGGTTGGGGTAGTATGTGCAAGTGTAGTCCTGCAAAGCACTGAGTATGTTCTAGTTTTATGTGTAGTGGCTGATGTCACATAGAGCTTTACTTTTTTTCTTTTTTCCCCAGCAACTTCCACTGTGTATACTGGTATAATTGCAAGAAAAGCAAGCCTGATATCTCTGCTAAATCTTTTTGAGCCTTTGTTTGTTGTGACAATTTATATACCCTTTAAAAACAGTATTTCTGAAACCTGACAGTCAAAAGATACCATGCTGCACAGCAAAAAATAAGGAGAAGGCTTAAAGAAACTCCACCTTACTGACAGAAGCCTTACCTTTCGACTGCAGCATTTATGCTGTGGAACATTTGGGAAAGAAGATGGAGAGCAGAATACTGTTGTGACCATGCATATGGGGTCTAGCTTGGTGGTACATGGTATTCCCCGAAGGGTTATTCCATGTAGCAGAAGAATCCCCATTACAGTAACATGATATTCTATTCATCTGAGCTCAGGTTCTCAATTTACCATTCTGCCATCATTACTACCAATGTAGCTCTCTACTTGTTTGGAATCAGAATTAAGATGTACAATAACTCATGGTAGAAGTAAATTTAAGATGTATTTAAAAAAAATGTATTTGTGGATAGCTGCTCCATCTTATGTTCTTAATTTTCTCTTGGTTGCTTAGGGTTTGAATGCAGTGTTTGATGCACTAGTGATAAACAAGCTAAATGTTTTGGAGCTTATTCAAAAGTTACTACATAAGGACAAGTCATTGGAGGTAAGTCCTCAGAGGTTTTGTTCATTCTGGCCATTCAGACAGTCATGTACTAAAAGACAAAGATAGAACTTCTGACAGTTTTGTTGTTGTTGAGAATTAAAAAAAAGAAATAGACATATTTACACTCAGCCTAATAAGGCAACGTGCTATGACATCTTTGCAGCAACATGAGTCATAATGGGATAGCATTAGAATTGCATTGGATAGTGAAATCCATTCCACACTTCTCTCAACAGTACGTTAAAAATATGGTACGGAAGAGCTGACTGCTTGATGCAAGAAGTTCTCCAGGGTCAGTAGCTATATGCCTGAAAGGGTTGTTTAACACAGTTTGGTCAGAGTAAAGAGAGAGAGAGAAATTTTGCAGATTCTCAAATTAGTCATTCGAAAAAGTACATTAAAAAAATTATTATGTCTACTTTGCCAATCCCACTAAAAGTATTACACTGTTTTTTTCAGAATACAAATTACCAAACAGGAGACAGTTCCTAGTAGCTTGGGAGTTTAAAAGAAAAAATATGTAAGCACACATAGTCACTAAAGATCGAATTTCTGACTTTTGTTGATATTGCTTTATCTAGTATTGGCTCAAGTGGAATCTGGCACCTAGTATTTGCACTGGCAAACAAATCACAGAAACAATCAGCTTCGGGTGAATGATTGATAGCAGCCAAATAGACTAACAGCCTACTAGAATGTCACTACTGTTCAAGAGCTACATCATTTGCCTCTCATCCAAGGTTCAGCAAGGCAAAGGAATATTCATTGTACTTTGCATCGATCAGTGGTTTCACTGCAGAGAAGCCTTGCTCATGTTTCTGAGTAGCACAAGTCCTACGGGGCTTTTAAATTCCTTTGCAAAGAGTGAAGTGAGGAGCTTCAGAGGAAGATCAGTGAAAGGGGAATCTCTAGAACTGAAACAGTAGATTTGACCAAGAATGGCTAAGTGAAAGGAGCAGGAGTATTTCAGGCAACAAATAGGAATGCTAGAGAATCTTGCTGTATAATGAGAGTAATGTCAACTAGCATATGGCAAGGAAAGAGTCTGGAGCTGTAGGGGACTAAAGCAGAGCCAGTTCAGAATTAAAGTGATGGAAATAAAAGGTAATAAGGAGGACGCTGTGAATAAGTGGTCGGTCAGCCTCACATCAGTGCCTGGTAAGGTCATGGAACAGATCCTCCTGGTAGTTATGTCAAAATATATGAAAGACAGGGAGATGATTAGAGACAGCCAACATGGCTTCAAGGGCAGATCGTTCCTGACTAATCTAGTGGCCTTCTGTGATGGAGTGAATGGATCAGTGTACAAGAGAAGAGCTGCTGATGTCATCTACCCGGATTTCTGTAGGGCCCCCCACAACATTTTTGCCACTAAAATGGAGAGATGGGGGTTTGACTGATGGACTGTTAGATGGGTAAGGAATTGGCTGGATGTCTGCATCCAAAGAATTACAATGGCTCGATGTCCCTGTGGAAACCACAATGAGTGGTGTCCTCAAAGGTCCATACTTGGACCAATACTATTTAATATCTTCATCAATGACATAGTGGAATTGAGTGCACCCTCAGCAAGTTTGCAGATTACACCAAACGGAGTGGTGCAGTTGAGGGAAGGGATGCCATCCAGAGGGACCTTAGCAAGCTTGAGAAGTGGGCCCATGTGAACCTCATGAAGTTCAAGGCCAAGTGCAAGGTCCTGCACCTGGGTCGGGGCAATCTCCAATATCAGTACAGACTGGGGGATGAATGGATTGGGAGCAGCCCTGTGGAGAAGCACTTGGGGGTACTGGTGGACAAAAGGCTGGACATGAGCTGGCAATGTGCACTTGCAGCCTGGAAGGCCAACTGTATCCTGGACTGCATCAAAAGAAGTGTGGCCAGCTGGTCGAGTGAGGTGATTCTACCCTTCTACTTCATTCTGGTGAGACCCTACCTGGAGTACTGCATCTGACTCTGGGGTGGATGGAAGATGTGGCCCTGTTAGAGTGAGTCCCCAGAAGGGTGATGAAATGGTCAGGGGGCTGTAGTACCTCTCCTATGAAGAAGGGCTGAGTTGGGGTTGTTCAGCCTGGAGAAGAGAAGGCTCCAAGGAGACCTTATTTTGTGGCCTTTCAATATATAAAAGAGTCTTATAAGAAAGATGGAGAGAGACTTTTTACCAGGGCCTGTAGTTACAGGACAAGGGGCAATGGTTTTAAACTGAAAAAGGTATATTTAGATAGAATAGGATAGAATAGAATAGAATAGAGTATTTGCACTTGGAAGGGACTTACAACAATCATCTAGTCCAACTGCCTGACCACTTCAGAGCTGACCAGAAGTTAAAGCATGTTATTGAGGGTATTGTCCAAATACCTCTTAAACACTGACAGGCTTGGGGCATCGACCACCTCTCTGGGAAGCCAGTTCCAGTGTTTGGCCAGTAATAAATTCTTTGCAATGAGGGTGGTGAGACACTGGAACAGACTGCCTTGGGAAGTTGTGGCTGCCCCATCCCTGGCAGTGTTCAAGGCCAGGTTGGATGGGGCTTTGGGCAACCTGGTCTAGTGGAAGGTGTCCCTGCCCATGGCAGGGGGCATTGGACTAAATGATGTTTAAAGATCCCATCCAACTCAAACAATTCTATGATTCTGTGAAATGTGTCAAAGTCAAACCTTTTTGGAGGATTACCCTTTAAGCATGAAGAGCTCAAAGCATTACGCTTCCGTTTTGTGACTTTTAAACAGCTCTGTCTGGATGAAGAAAACATCAAACGTGCCTTTTTCTTCTTCTTTTAATAGAAATAATTAATTTTAGCTCCTGCCACCTACAAAAATCTGTTCTGCTCTTTTCATGGAAGTGTATGTCTGTTTTGTTTTGTTTTTTTGAAATGCAGATCTTAAATTCTCTTACATGCAGTTTTTTTCTTCTCAACTGAGACAGGTTTCAGTTTCGTGACAGATTTCAGTTAACTTGAAATCAAAGGTGATAACACTTCTTCCACTTTTAAAATTCTGCCTACTAAGAGATTTTGTGGCGATTTGTGAAATCTGGCCTTTAAGAAGCTGCATGTACTGTTAAATGAAATGAAGCCTGATATAAGAGGTTTTGTGTAGTTAATCTGTCATAAGGCAGTTATAAATTGTCACTATATGGTTTTCCTTCATAGCACAATTCTCTTCCAAAAACAGGGTTTAGGAATGATTTTCCTATAATCCTCATTGTAGTGACTTTGGTTACTGAGATACATAAGTCGGAAGTAAACATTTGAGCACAAAGGTTAACATGTAAAATCAATGTTACAAACTTCTTTATCCTTAGGCATTCAGCTACATATTTTATGACGACTCTGTTGTCAACTACAGATATTAAAAACCCATCTGAATATTGCTTTTAAATGTAACTTTTCCATCATTTTAGAGAATAAATATCTTCAGTCAAGGTACTGTTGGATGTCTGTCTTTGTGCAGCAAGCCTACTTTTTTTTTTTAGTCTTCAGAAATAACTAATATTGATCTTCTAAATAATTGTGGTGGTGCTTGCTAATAAGCATATTGCAATAATAGGTAATAATAATAATAGTCAGCGTGCCAGCTCCCATGGAGGACATAGAACTGATCACATATAACTATCAGGTAGGTTTTTAAGGGTAATAGAAGCATATCAGACTAAGGAAGGAAGGCAGGAATAAAGGAAAGCTAATACTGGAGATCACATGACCATATATTTTAGGATCCAGTCAACGCTTCCATGTAAAAATCCATAGTTTACTGAAAATTTCATCTTCAGATATGTAGAATGGAAAGAGAAGGGGCCCAAATGATCTCTCATTTCAGAGAAACTCTCGTCTTCCATCTTTTACTTCTCTAATGATTTGCTGAGGCTGTGTAGAATAATTTCAGTCATCAGAGAGCTCTAAGGCAGCCCTACAGCACTGTAACATAGGGGGTCAGAAAGAAGCTATGTCCTTCATATGTCCTGAGTTACCATTTGCTAGCTGGGTAGGGTGTTGGAACCTTGGATTTGCATCTCAAAGCTGTGACAGGGATATCATTATAGTTACTGATGATTCTGTTTCCAGTCTCTACTGGTGAAGCTTGAAGAACCTCTACAGTATACAGTGTTTTTCTTTTCATTTATGAAACTGATGTGTGCTTGGAGAAAATGTGTTACACTTTATGGAGGAAAAAATGGAAAAGTCTGTCAAATTTAGCTTCTATGACATCACTTCTCTATGTTTTACATGAATTGCCTTCTTTAGACCCTAAAGTGTATATTATAAAACATGTGATGTAAATCAACTGAGTTAATGTAGATAAAACACAATTTTTTTTAGATCTTGGGTAATTTTAGCCTGACCAAAGTTATTTGAGTGCCTGTCTGTCATTAACTTTTTAATCACGTTAGTGATTGTGAAAATTTTAATTCAGTTTCTAATTCCTCCCAGTTTCTAACTCTGCAGTTTTCTTTTGTATGCATGTAATTTTGCCTCTAAAGAGACCTAAGTGGACAAAAACTTTCCATGATAAGCAGTCAACTGGATATAGCTATTTAAAACAAATTCACAAAGTAACCATCCTCCATTTTAAAAAAACAAGATAGATCAATTTAATATACTCTATACTAAAGGCTGTGTACTGCTCAAATTCCCTATCAGAAATTGCTGTGTAAAAAATTACATCAGCTATAGAGTTACTGAGGATTTGTAGAAGAGAGACTTCTTGAATAAAAAAAGTTTTCTGATTGAGAAGGAAATGAAAATGTTTGCAAAAAATATTTTGCAATTAGTCAATGAAAGCATAGCGAAGTTTGAGAGCTTTCTAGTAATGGCAAAAATAATAACAATGTCAACTCTAATAGCAAAAATGCACAGGAATAGCCTCTTCTGTCTGAGGTAGTGGTGAAAAGAATGTGAATGTAGTGGGGAAGAGAACAAAATAATGGTTTTTATATGAGAGGTTTTTTTCTTTCTTTCCTGTAGAATGCTGTGCTGTTAAGAAAGGGGCTGCTTTTCAGGATAACTCTTCTGATGTCTGGAGGGGCCAGTATACTTTATATACGCTGGAGGATTATGGGCACAGGGCCACCGGCTTTCACTGAAGTAGACAACCCAGCTTCATTTGCAGACAGTCTGTTTGTGAGAGTAAGTTATGAAGTGGCTTTTTTCTGGCCAGCTCAGAACATTTGTCTTTGTCATCAAATTGAATTTTCTTTTCTGTGCTTCAAAGAAACAGTAAAGTGGGCAGTCTTTATGTTTCAAGATGTGTGATGAGTCACCGTCACTTGCTGCTGTGATGATTTTCTGCAATTTTTTAAAATAGTATACCTTGTATATTCTTTGCATTCAATTTAGCATGCACTGCACACATGGCAGCACATTTCCATTTACTCACTATTTTTCCCATGCATTCAAGGATTTAGCTTTTGCTGGGTTTCATCCCTTCTCCACATACTGTGCTTGACTTTTCATCTGTTCTTTCACAATTGGAGAAAATATCATAAAGTTCTGGTCTGGTGCATTTGGAGTATGTCTTGGCTTTATATCTCTGACTGCATTAAGGCTTTTTCTGGAGATGGAGAAAGAAGGGCAAAGACAGTAGGTGCTGTCTTTTGACATTTTCTCCTATTGTAGGAGATTATTCTTTTTACAGGTGGATATTGGTTGGACAGCACAGAACTGCATTTCCCTGCTCTGAATAGGAGACCCATTTAGCTATGTTTAAAAAAAAAATTAAAAATCAATTTCACAGCTGTAAAATAAATGGATATGTAACTAGTTGTAGTATAACGGTGTTTAAGGCCTTTTTATTGTATAAGATGTATTTTGTGATAAGGGAAATGATAGCAGAGAGAAGAACTAAAGTTGCCTCCCCCCCTCTCAAGTTTAGTCTCAAATAAATGTTTGTTTTCTGTTTGATTGACAGGCTATAAACTATAATTACTACTATTCCTTGAATGCATGGTTGCTGTTGTGTCCCTGGTGGCTGTGTTTTGATTGGTCAATGGGCTGCATACCCCTCATTAAATCCGTCAGCGACTGGAGGATAATTGCACTAGCAGCACTCTGGTTCTGCCTAATTGGTCTGATATGCCAAGCTCTGTGCTCAGAAGACAGCCATAAGAGAAGGTAAGAGACAGTGATGAATTTTAAATGCCTGGCCAACTTGAATGCAGTATTATTTTGTTAAATCCACTACTGATAATTTTAGCAATTCAGTGTAACCAGTGTCTAGCAAATGCAGTTCAAATAAATATTTATAGCTGTCATTACAGTTTTATCCCAATTTGGGCCCATCACTGTACACTGACTAGTGGGAAACAGAGTTGGAGGAGGAGGAGGAAGTATGGATGGCTGCTTTATTTTTCTCCTGAAATGGCATTTTGAGATCCTTAACACTGTAGGCGGTAAAAAGTAGTATGTGCTCAGAACAGAGTAGGAAATTATGTGTGTTGTTGCCCCTACTTCTTACAAGTCATCATCTCCTTTAATCTTCTCCTAATAATGAAAGAGAGAGGAGATGTGCCTTGAAAGGAGGTAGATAGAAATACTGGCCATGGCCATACAATTAAAAAGTAAAATGCTGACCCATAGTGTCTACTGAGGAAAGAACTTGTACTTTACCCAAAGGAGCTAAAAAATTCATTGTAAACTATTCTGGCTCACTAAGGGCTTCCATTTTAATTTTTCAGGTTCTGTTCCCATGGATTTTATGTAGAATTAATTTCTTAGTTCTTTAAAAATTTTCAACAGTTCAATCACAACAAGGTCATTCTGTTGTTCAGTGCTGAATATTTTCTTTTTCTTTTCTGTGGTATTCTGTAATTTCATCTCTTCCCCCTCCTCCCCTCAAATGTTAACACCCCACCTGCCTTCCTTTCTGCTGTTCCTGTACTCATTTGCACAGATAAAATCATTTTGCAGAGGGGCTGAATTCTTGCTACAAGCGATGTCATACTTTCTAGTAAAAACACACTCAGTAAGCTTATATTGCTGAATAGCTTTTTAGTAAAGACAAAAAGTATAGTGAAGGCTAGGACTCTTGGGTATGAGAAAAGACTAAAAGGACATGTCTACATTAAAGTATAGAGATTTATTTGTAATAAATTAGAGTAGAAAACTACCATGCCTGTGGCCTTTATAACAAATACCTGACACAGACCTGGAGTTCTTGTTCCCTTACGTCAGCTCTGTAAAAGTAAGGTACCTCGTCTCAGTTGTCTAAGCTCTGTCCATAAAGAGTTCCCTGTTGAGGATTACTCATCCTCACATAGATACCTCAACCAAGGAAGACAAACTGCCCTCGAGAAGTGCCTCTTTCAGCTGACTGTAGAAACAGTGTAGATTACTAACTTTCAAGTGGTTAATCACAATGGATTCTACTATTGATGTATTTGTTAGGAAAACGTGCTCTCAGTAGGATGTATACCTAAGTTTCTTCTTTAACAGTGACCTATATTTTTCCCCTGTTATTGTCTTACTAGTTCCAAAAACAGACAGGCAGCTTTTACCGTTACCTTTCCTGCCTGTGTATTTTCAATAGGAATTATGTAATTAATGTGTAATTGGGATATTTGCTGGCCTGGAAGCGTGAACATTGCTTTTCTGGAAATTATAGCTAGGGTTTTAAAAGTGCCTGATGGAATGAAGTGTCACTGGAATTTAACCTGATTAGCTCTCAAAGGCTGCTTTTGGATGCCCTGTTCCATACTCACATCTTTCTACAGTGTGTAAATAAAGTTTATATGTTAAGCGGAAAAAGGTACTTTTGTTCAAATTTGTGGTTAATTTGAGAATCTGTTTCTTGTTTGCAGAATTCTTACACTGGGACTTGGATTTCTTATTATCCCTTTTCTTCCTGCAAGTAATCTGTTCTTCCGAGTAGGATTTGTTATTGCAGAGAGAGTAATCTACCTCCCCAGTATTGGATATTGTATTCTGTTTACATATGGATTTAGTCTCTTGAGTAAGCAAGCCAAGAAAAAGGTAACATCAAAACAATCAGAAAAGTTGATGATGAAGTGCTTCAACTGAATGGTTTGTTTCTTAACTTGTCTCTCTTTCCTTAAGAAAATTCTTGCTGTGGCAGTACTTGGAATCTTGTTGATAAATGTTATGCGCTGTGCGCTCCGCAGCAGTCAGTGGAGGTCAGAAGAGCAGCTTTTTAGGAGTGCACTGTCAGTGTGCCCTCTGAATGCAAAAGTAAGTCACTCATGGACTTTTAATCTTTTTTTTTTTCTTTTTGTTTAAGTGTTTTGAAATTTGGGATAGAGGAGGTGTTACACATAGTTAATATATTGTGGTACAGTGTTATCAACAGCCTTGCTTGGTGCAATAATATGACATTAACATGCCGGACACCTAAATTACAGTGGTAGCATAGTCAAAATACCAGACAGTGCAAATTACAATATTGTAATTCAGAACTTGGGGGTGGGAGTGGGAAGGGGAGGGAGAAAGGGGAATACACTTCAGGAAAGGCATCCAGCCGAACTGGATGTACTGCTAATAAAATCCGCTAGAACAATTGTGTGTATAGTCATAGAATGGTTTGGGTCGGAAGGGACCTTAAAGATCATCTAGTTCCAACCCCCCTGCCAGGGGCAGGGACACCTTCCGCTAGACCAGGTTGCTCAAAACAAGTTATTACAACAAAATATTGAAAAGAAAGTAAGGAAGCTGTAGCAATGTATTCACCTGAACAATGCCTATGCTACGTTTTTAGAATCCTTTTTGTGTACCTTCCAGTGGTATATATAGCCAACACAACTAAGGGACAAAGCAGCATATCATCAGTGTGATCGCATCTGCTCTTTTACAGTGGCTGAATGGGCTAGAGTCTTCAGACATGGACACTGAGGAAAACTGCAATATTCCCTGCAAGGCTTAGTGAGGGAACAAGTAAGAGGGTGGGACTGGATAGGATGTTTCACTGAGCTGAACACCAGTGTTTGGCATAGCAGACTGAATCTAGCCTGCCAATAGAGGTGACCTCCACAGCAGTCCTTTGGTAGCTGAGAGTGTGATCTGTTGGAGCATACCGCAGAGCCCTGATGTTGTCTGAATTTTAGCAGAGGCTCTCTTTGAAGAGCCTAGGAATAGGAATGCACAGCTTGTCAATAAAAATACATTGATGTTTTAAAAGATTAGATTTCTGTCATCTAGAGTGGTATCTAGACAGTACAGATCAAGACACAGAGTTTAAAAAGGAACCTGTGAATGTTCAACTTTGCAAAGAGAATGATAAACTTAGCATCTACTGGAATACAAATATGCAGGAGTGAGCTGTAAAAAACATTTATGGCCGATATTTACAACATGGTGATGCCTTTCAATAATCTCAGATTTCAATACGTAGAAAAAGAGCTGTTGTATTTTATTGTGTGGCAGTGGTCGGCAACCACCTCCTTTTTAATGATGACCTCAGTATAGCTTGTCTTCTGGATGACAAGCACATACTATAAATGGAGCAAACGCAATCTGTTTCTTTGTATGTAACTCCATCCATCTGCCATGGTAAGAGTGCTTTAGACAGATCCACACTCTTTGCCTGTGCTCCAAGCTCCTTGGACTCAAGCCATGTCTGGCTGGGAAGCTGTGTAGCTGTGTTCTCACAGTGCTGTGCTTGAGCCGATAAGCTGTGTGCAAGCTACTGAACTAATGCAGCTGGTTCAAAGCCAATGAGTGTACAGGGAAAATGAGCTTGTGTTTGTCAACATTGGGTCGTGTAGACACGCCTGAGCTGTATTGCTGCTAGTGACAGCTTGCGCAAATGGAAAGCGTGGTGATGTGAACAGGGAGTGTTTTGTAGGCTCACGTTCCAATTTTGCTGAAGGAGTAACTTTAAAATCACAGTAGTAGGGAACTTTTCTAGGCAACAGCATTAGAGTCCATGTGTGAGAGCCAATCTGTTTTTTTCTTTATGGACTCAGCTATATTTATTCAATTTTGACAAAGGTAAATGTAAAAACTGGAACTAGGTTCTGTTCTGATCTTCTGTTGTTGTCTTGAAATTGCAGGCTTCCTTTAAAAATGACTCCACAGGACTTTCTTTCAGTGGTCCATTTATTTCAGTGGGAGCCTGATGCAGACCAAAAGATGGAACACAGATAACAGCTTTTTCTTGTTGTTCTTGGAACATCTTTAATAAGTGTAATGTGGTCATGCTTTACTTCCCTTATGTAGCAGGGTCCCAGAATCTCCAGGTGTCTCCCAACCAGCAACAAAAGCTGCAGCTTCTAGTTCATGTTTTGTGGTACAGCTCTACAGCTCTTTTCAGTTCCAGGTTGTCTGTATGTGAGCAGTGTAGAGTCAACTTAATGCTGAGTAACAAGTAGCTACAGCAGTGTTTTCTCTAATTTCAAGACTCATCTTCTTTAACCATCTCTTTCGATAGAGGTGTGGAAACTGCATTAAATCAGATTGTCTGGCATAGTAGTGAATCTACCCCCTTGAGTGATGAATGCATCTGGTTCAAGAGGATGAAATTTAGAATCAACTTTGATAAATGTTGCCCAGTGATTTTTAAATTTATTGGAAATAATCAGGCACCATAATGAAGTTACAAAGATTTTTACTTTTAAAAAAAAGTTCACAATACAGGTTTTTAAACATTTTAAATACCTTAAAATTTATTTAAAATGTTTAAAATATTTTAAATATCTCTGTTATATATATTATATAGATTTTTTTTTTTCCAAGAGAGAGAAAGAAACGTTACAGATCTTGGTTAAACATGCCTAGGAGTATGTCACACATTTGAACTTGCACGGTCCTGCATTTAAGTTGGTTTCAAAGGTTGTTAGACTGAAACAGTATACATTTTGAATACGCTTTGAATACATTTGGCAGTATTTTTCTTGGCTGAACAGAAGGTGCCTATATATTGATTCCATTTCCTGTTAACCACCTTTTTTCATACCATATAGATTGACTTAATTCATGGAGGTCAGTGGTGATACACACTGGTGTGAGTTAGAACCTGGCCTGTGTTGTTTCTGCTAAAGCAAATTTTGTGAGCAGTTATAGAGACTGTTTTCTCCTGATGTGTTGGTTATATGTTACAGGTAGTTTATAAATTTGGAATATTTCAGTGCTACTAGCTTAAAAGGCTCACTGGATCCAACTTGGCATCTTTTCATTTGAAGGCATTATGTTGCAAGTTTATCCTGGAGTGCTTTGTTGAAGTACTAGAATATCTAATGACAGGTTATGATAAAAGCATAACTACTGTTTCACCATATCAGACTACTGGCTTGGATTTATCTCCTTAGCTTTGGATATCTACATCTGAGCGAGTCAGCCAGGCTCCCTTTATAACTGGGGAGGAGAAACCATCCCTTTTACCATGTGGTTCATCATCACCTTGGACTAAATGACTGACTTAGGCCAGAAGGACTGCACCCTAGATCTGTGTGTTTCTCTCCACTGATGATAAAAGAAGTCCTGACAACTAGAACAGATGTGGATACATAAAGTTATGTGAGATTTTGCCCTTGCCCTACTGCTGTTCACTATTTCTAGACATTGCTGTATTGCTCCTCATCTTCTGAGGTCATTAAACATAGCTTCTTTTAATTTTAAAGATTATTCCCAAAAATGCTCATCTTACTGCCTTTTTTTGCCATGTGATAAGTTATTGTTGGAAGTGCCGAGTTACTTTTTCTCAGCTTTTAGCAAAGCCATGGCAGTTTTTAAAAATCCAGAGATGGTCTTTATTTCTGGATTACTTCCTCTAATTGATTATCTAAATAAAGTTTTCAGTTGCATTGTTAAATACATGGGAAATAGCTACCATTTTTCTTTTCCTAGATTTGAAATAACTGAATTGAAATGATTGTAAATTGTTAATATTCTATATGTAATCTCTACATTCTCCTTGCTTACTGGCTTTTCTTTAAAGCATAGAAATTAATAAACATAATTTTTAAAAAGCCATTTCAGTAGCAACTTTTCTGCAGTAATAAACAAGGAAGTTATGATAATCACAACAGAACGTGTTACTAACCAGTGTGCCTTGACATACTAAGGGTAGTAACTTTGTACTTGATGCTTTATGCAAACTGTAATTATTATAGGTACACGTTTGTCAAAGACAAGCTATGCTAATATTGAAAATGTACAACAGAATTTGGGAGATTGCTTTCTATACTTTCTTAAAAGGTCTTGTAAAACCTCTTTGTGACAGAACAAGATTTAGTGCTGTTTAAAGATTTATGATACTGATCTAGAGAGCATTTCCTTCAGATATTGAGAATTTCTTTCTAGGCTATATATTAAAAGGGGATTACCTTCTGTAGAATTTACCTTAAGTGCTGTGGGCTATGTTTATAGGGGCTATCTGCAGTGTTTTGCCACATAGATACCATTTTAGATGTCAATTTTTTTTTTGTATATAAGCTCAGTCATGCAGAAGAACCTTTAGACAACATTAGCTGCACAAACAAAATGTGAAGATCAAAAAGGCTTTGTATTATTATTAATTTGAAAACAATTTCAGTAGTAAAGAGTGTTTGATGAAAGAAGTTGGCATTGAACAGAAGCATCTGCATGTTTCTGTAGAAATTTTGACATCTGTGCTTTGCTTCCATCCTTTTCAGCAAATGTTCATATTTGCTGAAAAGATGATTATAAACAGCTAGGAAGAGAGAGTTAAAAAGTTGGTAATAGGGGTGCTCCAATTGAGGGAGTATACCTCCTAGAAGATGCTACTACGTTTCAATTTCTTCCTACACTGCTTTGACAAAAACAAACAAACAAAAAGTCAGTTTGACAGTAATTTTGGTTTTGTACAGGAAAATATAATTTTTTTCTCTTCCTCATTTAAATGTGTGTGCACATTTAATCACTTAAATAAGAGTTCAAGCACTAAGTGTGTCTAACATACAATAATATAGAGTGCTTTTGCTTTTCTATGCTGGCTTCTTAGGCCAATTGAGGTATTGCGAACAAACACATGGAGCCAATTCTTTGGCTAGGCTGTGCTACCGTGGTTGTGTTAACTTTAAACAATGCATGCCTGTGGAGATCAACTAGGTTCTACCCTAGGGTATTTTTACCTTATTGCCCTGATTTCGGAGAATGCTGGGTTGTTATGGATCCCTGAGAAATGTTCCTTTTAGAGCTATTACTGTGAAGTAATTACCTGTTTAAGATTGATAGAGGAGCATGTGGGCTTAATGAAATACGTCATTTCCAGTTAGTATCTATCTTTAATCATTTAATAACAAAATGCTATGTCTGCTCTTAAATGCTTAATCAGGAAAGGAAAATCCTCCCTCCCAGGCTGGCATATCTGTTAAGGGCAGAAGAACCACATCTCTAGAGATGAAATTTAAACCATCACACTGGCTCCTCATTTTTAAAGGCCAGATTCTTCCTGCCCGTTGGTATATAGAAAGTACTTGTGTCCCCACATTGTGCAGGTAGGGCTCGCAGGAGAAGTCAAGGAGAGTTACAGCCTTGTGCTTAGCGGAGGGCAGGTGGATATTGTAGGTTTGGTTTGGGGGAGCAGAGCTGAAGCTGATCTTGGCAGCTCTCTGTCATGGCCAGTGAAGTGAGAGACATGGCTGTACGGCAAAAGTCACCTGCACCTCCCAGATGAGTGTGTATGCCTGGAAACCTGCTGCTGACTCTGTTCTGAAGAGCAGGATCTATTATAATCCATTGTAGAGCCGGTTTTGTCACTGGATAATTACAGTACGCTGAGACGTCCTTTCGGTATGTTTGTTTTAGTTTTTCTTCTCTTCCCATCTCTGTTGCCACCATATTAAGGGGAACTAAAGCTACAGTTTCGCTTGAAGGAAAATTGGGAACTTGACATATAAAGAAAAGCTCTTCCTTTTCAGCGGTATTGTATAGAAACATCATTTCCTTTCACATGGAAGCTATATCTGAGGACAGAAGAAATACACCATCGAAAATGCTAATAGTTTATTTAAATAGTTTTCCTATCAGTTCTAATAAACTATAGTACATCTTTTTAGTTCAGTTCACAAAACATACATGTACACTTAATATTTCATTTGATGTTTTGACTTGAGGGAATTGATATCTGTCAGGTTTCTGCAGTCTGCGCAATTCTGTTTACATGAGAAAAATATTCTTTCTGCTGCTGCTTTTGAGATAGAAATGCATATGAAGAAGTTACATGTTTCAAAAAACAGCTGACGTGAAATACTGAGTAGTTGGTGTATACCAAGTTTTTTCTCATATGCTCTGTCCCCAGTCTTTAATCAAAATTTCTTTTTTCAGTAATGCTTATGACTTTTGTAAAACATTAAAAAAAAAAACCCACACAACACTTTTCGAAAGCTTCTTAAAGAAAAAAATTGAATCATGTTAAATGTAATCTTGTTTGCTGATATTGAAATGTGAAGTCAGGTATTTTAAGGGCTAATATACATTATTGAGTGAAATCTTTCCATATGTCTTCTGTTTTGCCACAGTTTATCTTTTATCTGGAAACACAGCAAAGTTTAATAACCTAATTTACTCTGAATAAATTTTGAGTCTGTAAACTTCAGCATACATAATCAGAGCAATCCAGTTTAGTAAGAATGTTATCATAGTGTGCTGAAAAATTTCTGGAAGAGATATACAAATAGAATTCAGTCCTAAGAAACATCTTTCAGAGTGTATCATTTTATTTGAATGACTCCTGGGAAAACAATGCTATTCTGTCTTTTTTTTTTTTTTTTTTTGACACTGTCAACTGATCTTTATGAGTGGCTATGTCTTGATATAAAGGTACCATTCCATTGCTTCTTTGGCATAGGCCTTGTCGTATTTTTATGAATGTACAACAGAAGTGCCTGGATTTTTTTTTCCTGGAAACTGTGCCAGAACTGGTTTTATGGGATGGTGAATTTGTGTGCTATTTTATATCTTGCAGCCTGAGGAGCTGCTTCTGTGTATGTATGCTTAGTAAGCTTTATAGCATCTTTCTGTCTGTAAAACCAGTGAAACTACATTTTTGCTCATTCTAGAAAGCACGAAAAACACTTTTAACTGTATTTGTTGATGGTATGTTACTGCATAGTCACAATCATGTAGAGATGGAATTCAACAATTAAATATCATAACAATTAGGTTCAAACATAATTGTGTGTGCTGGATCAATAGGTCCCAAGTATTGTGCCAAATGCAATTAGGATTTTTTCCTTTGATGGACACATGAGATAAAATCCTTTTTTGAATGTAGAAGGTGAATTAGAGTTATCTAAATGTATTACAAACCTATCTTTTTGTACTTCAATCTGAAGTAATTCCTGCATACTGTTTTTGAAAAGATTTAATTTAGATTTTCAAAGTATGGAAGAAATTACAATGTGTGTTTGTTTTAGATGAAGTATATACAATTTGATTTCAAATAGGTAATTTAAATAATGAGTTCTGATCTAGTTGCTGAGAAGTCTGTTTTCAGGAGTCAGTACTCACAGTACTTTTCTGTTATTTCTAAACTTGATTCTTCCCTTTGACCAGGTAATGTAGTCTTCTGAGTTTTCTCTTAAAGCAGGATTTGAGATATCTTCCAACTCAGATTTGTCCTGAAATACATTTATTCCTATCTAGTCCTTGCCATAAGTTCAGATCATGCATCTTCTTCCCTGTGGCTATATCTCAAAGCTCTAGATCCTTCCTTCATTCTCTACTTTTTAACAGGCAAGGTCTCCAACATGTTGCTATACACGTTTATTTTTATTTCGGAAATGCTCTTTGATGCATTTTTATCCCAAGACAATAGCAGCGTATGTCTGTGTTTGTTTTTGAAATATGGAGCTTAGTTTTTCTGTTAATGTTGAGTTTCGGCTAGTTTATGCTATAGTGAAAGCAAAGTTTAATCAACACTTACATTGCTGTAGTGTTTCTTCTGCTATAGTGGATTTAATTTGAGTCAGACTTTCTCTTACTTATCTGACAAATGCATGAAATGAAGAGCAGGAAGTCTCCATATAAAGAGTCTTGTGGAAAGTGTGGTGACCTCATTTATAAAATCAGGAAGTGAATAATCTTTCTTAAATAGCTGGAACAGGTAAACTGATTTATTAATTTATTCCTCCGATTTTGTCTTGCTCTCTTCATTGTATGTATTGTCCAATCTTAAGTATCCGCCTCCAGCAAAAGTCAGCAGTGAATGACGCAAGTGCTGACTGTTTCTATTTGGAGTAAGAATTTTTAGCAACTTGGCTCCACAAAATATCTGACTGTATAGCATCTGGTAGAATGTTCATCTGTTTTCAGGTGCACTACAATGTTGGCAAAAACCTGGCTGACAAAGGAAATCAAAGTGCTGCAATCAAATACTACAGAGAAGCTGTAAGGTATTAGGAATTTTACTGCTTTAATGAACTATCCTAAAATTGCTTTCATGTTTAACATGAAGAAAATGCTTAGGTATTCATTTTCATGATCTGCAGCATTGCAGAGCTAGCAATTTGCATATAGTAATACATGTCCCATACATAATAATCATCTCTTAAATTTTAAATTTTAGGTTGAATCCTAAATATGTACATGCCATGAACAACCTTGGAAATATTCTGAAAGAAAGAAATGAGCTCCAAGAAGCAGAGGAGTTGCTGTCCTTAGCTGTACAAATACAGTATGTTTAGAACAATGCTAAACCAAGTTTTGCACCATCTGAGCAGAAATGATACAAAAGGATCCTGTGTTCCAAATGCTCAATTGTCCTCTCTTGTTTTTTTTTCCCCGATTTGCCCAGACCTGATTTTGCTGCTGCATGGATGAATCTAGGAATAGTACAGAACAGTTTAAGAAGGTTTGAAGAGGCAGAGCAAAGCTACTGGACAGCAATTAAACACAGGAAAAAATATCCAGATTGTTACTACAATTTAGGGCGGTTGGTAAGTGCTTTTGAATAAATGATAGCTGTGACAGGAATCTCTGTCACAGTGTGTGTGTGTGTGTGTTTGTATAATTCCACTGTACTGTTAAATGCTGAGAGTTATTCCAGTTTGCTTGATTTGTAGTTCAGGGTGATTTCATATTTTTGGTAGCTTTTCCTGTTGCTTTCCCAGTATACTTCCTTCCATACAACCTGTGGTAGTCCTACTTTCTCCTATAAAGAGGTATAAACAAAAATATAGATTGTGGTCTTTTGTTCAAAAGATATTAATCATTTCCCAATATTAGACTGTTTTGCAGTCATTAGTATATTGTTAGGTAGTAGAACTATGCCAAAAAAGTTCCATTTAGATTCTTGGAAATATTGATATTAAATATTTACTTATTCTCCTGTGTAGATTTCTAAATTGTATGCTGGTTTTCTTCCCTATCCTATTGGTACATGCATATTTGAAAACAAGCCTGGCTCCCAGAGAAAAGCAGGGTAAAATTAGTATATAGCACTCTATCTTCCATACTACCATAGTATTCTCTTTGCATTTCTTATTTTTGTCTATAAAAACAAGTTCTACTAGAATAGAGTGAGACATTAACAACTCTTTAGTGTTTTTAGTGCATGATAGAAAAGTAAAGCCAATCAGAGTGAAACTACTGGGTTTTTCTTTCTTTTTAGTATGCAGATTTGAATCGCCATGTAGATGCATTGAATGCATGGAGGAATGCTACAGTTCTGAAACCAGAGCATAGTTTGGCTTGGAACAATATGATTATATTGCTTGATAACACAGGTATAAGCCTATTTGAATGTTTTCATGAATAATTCAGTGTCTAGCAATACTTAAAGCTTTATCTGTATTTATGTAAAAGGAGTTCCGCCTCTTCTTTGGCTACCCAGACACTCTGTAAAAATATAAGAATACCTTCTGACTCAGTGGTTTTAAAGCATCACTTGAAATCTAGCCCATAAATTGAATTTCTGATCCTTATTTGAAATGCCATCATTGTGCAAGCATGTTTGTATTATAGACCAAACTTCAGAACTTTCGAATCTGTGCTTTGTTGTTCTTCTGAAGGTGTTATCTGTTAAAAACAAAATGGAGGGGTTTTATTGTCTCATTCTGCGGGATTTTACGTTTGTGTGTGCGTGATGCCTGGTTTTCTTTAAAAATGCATGTAATCAGCTATTCATAGAATATGCGTGCTTGCAGCATGTAAAGTAACTAATAAAGCTGTGTTAAAAGATGCCTTCTCTTTTTCTACTGCATGGGCTCCCAGGCAATCTAGCTCAAGCAGAAGCAGTTGGAAGAGAGGCCCTGGAATTAATACCTAATGATCATTCCCTCATGTTTTCATTGGCAAATGTACTGGGGAAATCGCAAAAATACAAGGTAGGTAACTAGAGCTTTCTGAGTGTTGCATTTTGGGTTTGGTTGTGTTTTTTCCTGTTTAAACTCTGTGTAAGTTTTTTGTAGAAACTGTTTGAGGAGGTCATTGTGGACTGTGACTTTGATACAGGTTTCAGTGCCCATTTCTGTCACAGTATTGCTGTGTGATTCTGGCCTAAGTTCATCCCACCTTACATTAGGTGGGTTACGAATGTTGCTGCCCTCAACTATGTCAGTGGTCAGTGGAGGGAAATAGGCTCTTAAGCACACTAGAGGGCAGTTAGGGTCTTGTATTGCTTCACTGTTGACACAAAGAGCCAGCTCTCATTTAGAGGCCTTGGTTCAGGAACTAAAATTATATGTGACGTGCTAGTCCTTGTGCTTTTGGTATGTAAAGGAAGCAAGGTTTACCATTACCCGTTATGAATTCTAGCCTCTTTGCCTCAGACGCTATCTAAAATAGAGATGCAATGCACAGCTTTGCTAATCCCAGATTGAGGATGGGATACCTGGGTAATCCCAGAATATTATGAGAAAAAGTCCACACACTGAGCAATGTATTGAACTTTCTCTTAGATGCAGCGGACCAGCCTGTGAGTGGTACCTCAACATTAGCTACTTCTATTTACAAGTAGTAAATGTAGTGGAACAGATAAGAACGAGTTATTTTCTAAAAGGAATCATATGAGCTGACAGAGAATAAATCATACACAGTTAATATATTTGGTTGTTTTAATTGATTCCATAGTCACTGATTTATGCATGTGATATGGACAAATTAATAATCAAGGAAGTTTGGGTATTCCTCAGAAAAACGTTATTTCCTGAACTATGGCTTTTGGGGGTTTTGATGGCTTTTTCATAGTGATTATGTTAGCAGTACTGAATGAACATGCTCAGTATATGCAAAGTAAGAAGATTTTATGATGTGAAACTTATCAGAGTAGAAACATTTTTCCACCAATTACTGTGTCCACTTAAATTTCTACAGTCTTGTTCAGCTGTGGAGTCATGACCTGTCCACATGTGAAGCCAGGGCCTGTGACACCCCAGCGCTTGCTTTTGTTGTGTTAGTGATGCTGTTAGGCACCCCATTACTGTTTCTCTAGACTGGCTGGGGTTTTTTCTGTACACTCCATTTCTTTTCTCTCTCCACCTGAGACTGTTATAAAATATGTATTTTAGGTTACTTTAACAAAGTTCCAGAAGGATACAAATTAACATCCAGAATGTTTAAGGGATGAGATTATGGAGGAGGTAATTGCTAGGATTATTTTGGTGAGTCATGACTGTGAAAGAATAGAGGATTGTATAGTTATTCATCAAGAAGAGTATGCAGCATGACAGAATAAAGAGCATTTATAATGAAATAAGTGGAAAAAATAAGTTGAAAACAAGCTAGAAAACTTCTCCAAGTGTAGGAGAAACAAGTCTGTCTTAGTGGATTTAAAAAATAAAAAAGGAGGTAGTGATTTTGATTGCTAGCTCTGAAAGGTCATTATGCTGCAGGGGAATGTGTTGGAGGCAAAGTAGAAATGATAGTGGGGAAAAATGAAGCTTTCAAGTCAGCATCCTGAATAAAGCAAAAGGAGCAGTGGAGCCCAGGGAAGAAAGCAGGGGAGCCAGTGAGTGTTTTAATAGTTCAATATGGAGTAGAAGGTTTGCGTAGAGCAAAAAACTTAACTAGTCACTTGAAATTGATGGGTTGTAATGGGGAGAGCAAATTAAGGGTTTGATCTCAGCAGTTGTATTTTGCATCACCTGGAAGGAGGAGATACAGGGGTTTTTTTTAAGTGGGAGATTGCTAAATGACAATAAAAAGCATGGAAAATTCAGATTTCTTGTCCACCCCCTCACGATGTAAAACCAGAGAAGTGGATGGCTCGTTAAGGATTTTTATTGAGTGTTCGGGATGGGAGGGGAGGAGGGGGGGATGGAGACCATCAGGGCGATGGAGGTAATTTTCAGAGGGCTGCCTGGCTGTGTCTGATGTGTTGTATAACCTCAGGCATTTCATTTATTAGGTTACTTGTTATGTGTCTGTATAAAAGTTGTTACTGTATTGGCTCTGTTGCTGTAAAGTAAGGTTTGTTCTAGGATTTTTTGTTATCTCTTATTTTAAAAGACATTAAGTCAAAAAGGTTTTACTATGTTATGAGATATTTCCTTCCAATAAGCACACAATATTCTCCTTCAGTTTCAAATGCACTTTGATTTTCAGCAGAAGATGGTTTTCCTAAGTGACCAAAAAAAACCCCAAACCTTTTTGATTTCTGTTTGTATCTAGTCATGAATGATTTATTGTTCCAGAAACAATAGCGCATAAAGGATGAGCTGTTTTGTTGGTTTTGTTTTGTTTTTTAATTAACATCTGTTATACCAAGTTAGAGTTCTCCTTTAAATGCTTGTCCTTGTCACAGTGTGTGAAGAGCCAAGCTATCTTTAGTTCATTGAAAAATATGTATGCTGTATTTTTGTTATGTATAAATCTATGCTTTTTCTGTAAAAAGTAAAATAAATTGAAACCATTCAGCATTTTTTGTATTTGAAATAAAGCCAGGCTACAGTTTTGTGCTGTGGCCTTGGCGGCAGATGGAATGCAGTGTGCTTAACCAAAGCCTCTGCTATATGCAGTGTGCAAGTTTCTTGGCAACACTTGAAGATTTGGCAAGATAGAGCAATTTGAAATATCACCGATGTATATTTACTCCATATATCTACAGTAATATGAATATGATGCACCTTAAATAGCCTTTAATCAGCCAGTATGCTTCTACTAGCTGCTGAGCAAAGTAGTGGTGATTAAAATGTTTTCAGCATGCAGTTGAAGATGTATGGTAATGGCAGCCAACTCCGAGAATCTATTTTATTAAATTTTCTGGGAACGCATTGCACATGTCCCATTGTGCTTCAGCAGTGAAAGCATGAGTCCATACATTAGGTGCTTCTCTGTGTAGGTGGCAAATTTTAGGCATACGACCGAATTAACTGGACAGCCCATCTTTCACTTTGCTGTTAACCTGCTGTCGTGGTTTAACCACCTGCCTAGCGAAGAAAGCAGAGATTTACTTATTAGACCAAAACACTAAAATTTGCAGTGGAAAAAACCACAACTTTGTGGGGCTTCTGATTACTAAATGCTTTCAAGTGGCAATCCACTGTTGATTTTTTTAGGCTTGGATGGTTATATGAAAAGAGGAGGTTGCCTTGCAACACCACTAGACTTGCCAAATGTTTGAGTCTCAGTATGTTTCTCAGGTGTCTGAGTTAAAATCATAGAATAATTTTGACTGGGAGGGACGTCCAGACGTCATGTAGTCCAACTGCTGACCCAAACCAGGGCCATCTCCAGTTGAATCTTGAACACTTCTATGGATGGAGATTCTAAAACCTCTCTGGACAGCCCCTTCCACTGCTTGACCATCCTTATGATAAAAAAAAAAAAATTGTTTCCTTTTATCTAATTGGAATTTCCTGTATGCCAGCATGCATCCACTGTGCCTCATCCAGTCTCACAGACTTGTGAAAAGAGTCTGTCTCCATCTTCTCTGTATCATCTGATCAGGTAGTTGTAGATAGCAATAAGGTTTCCCCTTCATCTTCTCTTCTGAAGGCTGAAGAGATCCAGTTCTTTCAGCTGCTCCTTGTATGTCTTGTGCTCCAGCCCCTAACTATCTTGGTGGCTCTCTGCTGGACTCACTAAAGTATTTCCATGTCTTTCTTGTAATGGAGAGCCCCAACCTGAACACATACTCCAGATGTGGTCTCGCAAGTGCTAAGAGAGGAGAAGGATTACTTCCCTGGACCTGCTGGCTGTACTTCTACTTAATACAGCCCAGGGTGTGGTTGCTTATCTTTCGGTGAGGGTACACTGATGGCTTTTATTCAATATGCTGTCTACCAGGCCTACCAGATTAATTTCTGTAGAGCTGTTTCCTAGACAGTTGCCTCCCAACCTGTACTTTTGCATGGGGTTATCCCATCCCAGATGGCAGGACTTTGCTTTTACTCTTGTTGAACTTCATGAAATTCCTGCAGTCCAATCCTGTTCAACGTCTTCATTATTGATCTGGATGATGGGGCAGAGTGTACCCTCGGCAAGTTTGCAAATGAGACAAAACTGGGAGGAGTGGCTGATACGCCAGAGGGTCATGATGCCATCCCGAGGGACCTCGGCAGGCTGGAGAAATGGGCTGGTAGGTAGCTCACACAGTTCAACAAGGGGAAGTGCAAAGCCTTGCAGCTGGAGAGGCACAGTACATGCTGGGAGCCACTCAGCTGGAAAACAGCTTGGCAGAAAAGCACCTGAGGGTCCCGGTGGACACCAGATTGATTGAACATGAGCCAGCAATGTGCCCTTGTGGCAAAGAAGGCTAACAATATCTTGGGTTGTGGTAGGAGTGTTGCCAGCAGGTTGAAGGAGGTGATCCTTCCTCTCTAATAGTGGGGCCACACTGTAGTCCTGTGTCCAGTTCTCAGAGAGCCATGGACATACTGGAGAGAGTCCACCAAAGGACCACGAATATGATGAAGGGACTGGAGCATCTTTCCTATGGGGAGAGGTTGAGCCTGGAGAAGAGAAGCCTCAGGCAGAGGATCTCAATGTATATAAATACCTGAAGGGAGGGTGCAAAGAAGATGGAGCCAGGCTCTTTCCAGTGGTGCTGAATGACAGGATAAGAAGCAATGGGCCCAAACCAAAACAAGGGATGTCCCCTCTGAACATCAGGAAATGCTTTTTTACTGTGACTGTGACGAAACACTGGCACAGGTTGCCCAGAGAGGTTGTGGAGTCTCCATCCTTGGAGATGCTGCCTGGACATGGTCCTGGGCAGCTGGCCCTGCTTGAGCAGGGAGGCTGGACCAGCTGACTTCCAGAGGTCCATCCCAACCTCAACCATTCTGTGATTCCTGCTAGTCCATTTCTATGTCCTGTCCAGGACCCTCTGAATAGCAGCTCTCCCCTCCAGTGTATTGACCACTCCCTCCTCTTAGGTGCTATCTGTAGTTTTTGGAAGTGCTTTCAGTGCCATCATCCAAAACATTCACGAAGACACTAAATAGTATGGGTTTCAGTGACCAATGCATCCAGGAACTTTAATAGTCTGGGTATGAGAATGCTCGAGATGCTGCTTATGCCAGGGAAAAGCAATGCTAAAACTTGCACTATGGAGTCATATACTCCCTAAATTTCCAGACATCTGGATCCCTTCTTCACTCCTATCCAAGAATTTCTTCTCCTGAAACAGGATGCCCTGCAAAAGGATTTGTCAAGAACCCTAGGGTTCGTACTTTCCTTGACCTGAGAAGATAAAGGCACTTTCTGCATCAGTCTCTCTTGGCTTGAGAGTGGCAGCCTGAGCTGTGCTCAGCAATGTTTTGAAAGGAGCATGTAGTTTGGGTTTGAATTTGGACATACTGGGAAGCTCTTAAGACACTCAAAGTTGAGTGACTCAATCTTGACATCAGAAATTTCTTGTCCCCTGAGGGACACTTACAGAGACTTATTTCATGCTTCACATGAGAAGATGGTGGAACCAAAAATCTGGCTGACAGGTTTTCTTTTTCAGTAGAGCCTGCGTTGTGTTTTGTGGATATAAGTAATAAAAGCTTAGCGCAAAGGAAAGGTCTTTTCCCCAGGTTATTGTTCTCACATACCTCAGACAGCAAGTATGTGCATTCAGACGGAAGCCTACCACATTGAGGTAATTTTATCTTCAGGTCATTTGCATTGAAACTCAATGGGCAACTTTCCCTAAAACACAGCACAGCGTAGAACTCTCTGTAAAATTCACTCTTAAAATATCTAAACTTGCATGCAAGTGAGTAAATATGCACCATTTGGATTGGGGGGAGTGTATCTTTTTAAACGTCTGCAAGAAATATGCTCTGGAACAGAAGTATCTATATTAGCAGCTAGTCTGGGAAAATAAAAATGTTTGAATTAGAGAATAAATTTAGCCATAAATTGTTCTCTGAATATTTGGTGAGGGAGCTCAGGTTTTCTAAGTAGTACTCAGATATCAACAGTCCTGAGAATACACACTGCAAGTGGGAATATGGAAAAGATAACTTGTGAGGAAATGTGAGGAATATTTCAGTTGGCTTGATTTTTTTTAAGTAACAGGCACTCACCTACTCTTCATTGAGAACCATGTTGAAACATCTGTTTGAAAGGGGTTTACGGGAATGCCCCCATTTTAAATGCGAAAAACTATTTTAAAGGGAAAGGTGTCTAAAAGCAGTCTGTTCAGATACTGAATTATATTATCCCTAACTTGATTGAATAACTGTGGAAAACTTCAGTAGTAATGTTTGAAAATATTGTAACTATGCAAAAAAAAAAAATTAAGTAAACTACTTTGCAAACATCACTAGTGCTTAATAGCTCTCTGCTAAAATAACAGCAGCCTGTGAAAGCATGGCAATTATTTGTAGCATTATTACTGTTTTCTGGAGGCTGTAGCCACCTGAGATACAGGATCACACAGACTTAGAATATATATATGGTGGTATCATATAGATATGGCATAATTTGGGAGGGGTTTGAATTACAATCGTGGGTAAGCTTTGCATTATTTTATATACTGCAAGAGTAGACTGTCCTGTTGACTTGTTCTTCTAAATTATTCAGGAATCTGAAGCTTTGTTCCTCAAGGCAATTAAAGCCAATCCAAATGCTGCCAGTTATCATGGTAATTTGGGTAAGAGCCTTTCTAACTCTTATCAGCTGTATTGTTTGTTTGCTTCGAATTCATTGTGTGTAAAAAGAAAAAGCAATCTTTTGAGCCTTCTTCCTGCTGGGCAGGTTCCTATTTTACTTGGTAGAAAAACTGCCAGCCAGAAGAACAGGGCACTAAACCAGAAAAGCTGTCACATGATATGACAGATCAAGAGGGCTGCACAATCCAGCCCAGAGGTAGCTGCACTTCAGTGTCTGCAAATTGGTTCATTTATGCTATGCTTGTAACCCGCAATGAGCTCACCAGATAAGAGCTGCCATTTATGGCTGCAATGTAATTCATTCCTTCATCATTCCCATGCCAGTTCTGCTCCCAGGCTTTGCTCCTGCATTTGGCAACAGAACAAGCAGCTACTGTGCCACCAGCCAGCAAGAGACCCTCACTGGAAACAAATGCTTTAATGTTGTTTTCCAAGTGATTGGCAAGATTGCATGTTATTCAACAATATTGCTAATGAAATTCCTTATTGATGTTCCAGCTGTGCTTTATCATCGCTGGGGAAATCTTGACTTAGCAAAGAAGCACTATGAAGTCTCTCTGAAGCTTGATCCTATGGCACCTGGGACCAAGGAAAACTACAACCTCTTAAGACGAAAACTGGAGCAATTGCAAAAGAAAGGCAGTGCCTGATGTTTCTTTTCAGGTTGTCCGTGCATGCTGTTTACGATTAATGTTACATGGGTACTTTTGGCCATGTAAAGGATTCAGTCATTATTTCTCAAAAATAATACCACCACCAGCACTGCACGCTTGAATGTCCAATTATGCCCTCCCACAGATCCCAACATTTCAGCTTGAGGGTTCATTTTATTTTTACTCTTGAACTGCTTTTAAAGTCCCTTAGAACATTTTTATAGGTATATGAAAGCAATGCAGGTGGAATTTCACAGCTTTCACTTGTAATTTGATATCTTCATCTGACTTTTTAGTAGCAGGATGGGTATCAGAAGGCAGTTTTATTTCTGAAAGTGATTCTTAAAAAAGTGCAATTTCCTGTTTAAATCCTGATCTTTTTAAGTATGAAGAATATCTATCCACTTCAGTTTTATTACTGCCTTCTACTGCCCGTCCTGCAGAGCCAGTGGAAGAATGGATTCTCTGCAGCACGTCAGTCTACTCGTGTAATTTGGGTTATGCCCTTGTCCTTGTTTCTGGCTCCACCCTGTGAGGTGTCAGATTTGTACAGGAGTAAGTGAGGACAAGGATTTGACCATATATGTTTGTCAGCCAGTGTACTGCTTGAGGTATGCTTGAGTGGAGCAAATACTCCTAGACTAAGACAGAGATTTTAGCAATCAGCAAAGGGAAAAGTGTGAGGCGGTAGAGGAGTCAGCTAGAGTTTCTGTTCTTGCAGGCAGCCGTATCTACCATAGACAACTTGGGCAACAAGTCAGAATTGCTTTAGCTCCTGCAGCAGGTCGGTGGTCTGAGTACAGTGTAGTGTCTACAGGAGCTAATTCCTGTGTTCTCAGGCATTCCAGTGCTTTCTGGTTAAGGATATTACACCTTCCAGCTCCTATATTGTTGGTGAATAAGGAGAGAATTTCTGTGGAAAAAGTAACTGGGCAGAGGACCTGACCTTGGCTGTTCATGTATTAACTGGAAGGAACTCAACTTCACCTTTGTCTCCTGTGGCTCATGTGTTTGCTGAAGTGGCAGTTAAATAAGCATAGCTGTTAATGCATAAACTGATCACATTGACGTGGGATGATTCAGATACAATGTCACTTTTCAAAATATGCTATGCTTTAATACATGTTTAGACTCTGGCTGTTCAGAGTTGTTTTTCTTGTGCTAATATCTACATTCCTGCTTCAGGAAGTAGTCACATGTCTATTTATTTGTTGGGGTTTTTTGTTGTGTGTTTGTTTTTTTTAAATTGGAAGATTGCTATTGGATGTGAAGACTGAGGAACTTTACCTCTCTTTTCATATTCCTTTATTCTAACTGCGTCCCCCAATTGATCAGTGCAGTATTTGCAGCTTTCCTAATTTGTCCAATGATTATCGTATGGGAGATTGTGTAATGTTCTCCATACACAACTCATCTATATGTGTAACCATTTAACGTGTCAGGGGAATGTCTGCCATAGGACAGGATGTTGCGTGACCTTGCCGTCTGACCACCATGTAACCCTTCTACACCTATACTATGTTTTGAACCTACAAGAGGCTACTTTTACATTATAAATTTGCTTGGAAATGACAGTTGTTTCAAGAACCAAGTGTGCCTACAGAGCACATTGCAATACTCCAGAGCTACCAAAGCATCCTCTGACAAAGCTAGTTTGGGTAATACAAGTAGTGCAGCTACTTTAATGTAATGTTCTTGCCAGACTATAACTGTAAATCTAGCCAGCAAGGCTGTGGCAGTGTGGTGCTGTCCACAAATTTGGCTTTGGATGAATTAATATGCCTACATTATATATAGGGTGTTGCCATACTGATTTTAATTGAGGTACCAGAGGCACATATTTGTGGTAGTGCAGTGCTCCTCTCCTGCAAATACAGCCTTTTTCTCAGCAGGACAAATTAGTTCTGATAGGGTACTAAGTTGATGCAATTGTTTCCATTTCTTCTGGTTTCTGGACAAAATCTTCAGAAACTAGTTACTGAATATATTTGCAGGATATAAACATGCTCTTTGATAAGTATCTGTACTGATCCAGCAGAACACTGGAGCAGTGTGGCTAGTCATCCTCTGATAACCAGCATAGTTTAGTCAGTACCAACTTTTGTATCGGAAACATGCTGAAATAGATACACCCTTCGGTACAAACAGCAGACTTTTTAAGGCTTTCCATACATGGCCTATTATTCATCAGATATAGAGAACACTTAGCTACGTCAGTCATGAGGTATGAAAGAGTTGGGATCTGGCTGGATGAGCTAGTTTATAGCAGAAGATAAATGTGTTTAATATAATCAGGTCTTTTCTGTATATTTGGAATATGACATACTGAGTTTAAATTATTATTCTCATCATGAAGTTCACATGCATCGTTTTCCCTGTTGCCTGCCATATTAGCTTTACAGAAATCCACTAGATCAATACTATATATGGAGTATGAATTCTCTCTAGGTCATTATAAACCAAAGTTGTTGTAGGAATTCCTGTGTGGAAGTCAGTTTGTCCTACTCAAGAATCTTAGATGGAAGAGACATGCCAACAAATTGGATGTTTTGTTGGTATTTGCAAATGGTGTTTACTCTTCAATACAGACAACATAACTTCTTCATTAGTTTTCTGGCTACCTGTATATATTTTGTGAAGGTTTATTTGTTTTGTATCATTTTCAGTGCTACAGAAATTCAATGTGATTACTTGTATGATGGTAATAAGAAGGACACACTTATGTTGAGCGTAATGTTGAGGCAGAATTGGGTTCAAAAGAAGCAACAAACAAGACAGCTTTTTTAATAAAAAATTCCTTAAGACTTTCAAGAATGTTAAATATTTTTTTACTTTATTTTCCAAAATACTTTGAGAGTGCAAATAATACAGTGAGTTTTATTAAAATGGTTATAATGTTAACCTTTTGCTTGTTTTTTCATACCTCATAACTGACTCCTGGAATAGTACAGAACACCCACCCTGGAAGAAAGAAAGGTGAAGAAAAAGTGTTTTTTTACGTAACCGTTGTTACAAACATTGTCTGGCTTTCCAGCGTGATGGATATTTTCCCCACGTTACTTTTCTACCATTGCTAATTACAGAAGATTAAAGTTTCCTGCTTATCAGATGGCCTGCTTGATTCTGTAGTGAAATTAAGAAACCTGGATACATTTTTTTTTTCAAAGATTGCTTGTTCAATACAGTTCTGAGGAGAGAATTACAGAATGATTCAATGCACAGAATGGAGTCAGAAAAATATTCACAATGACTGCTACAGGTGACAGTCTCTTTTCACCAAAAACTTCCAAGGGAGTTCCCTAACTGTATATTTCTCTCATGTTTAGACCAATGCCATGTGCATGCATTTTCCTGTTACTTAATTTCATACTTAGGATTTAAATTTTAGAGATGTGGGTTGTGTGTGTGTGTTTATGAGCACTCCAGAAATAAAAATCTTCAATACTTTTGAATGGTTTGTTAAAAATACTGCGCTTATTCACTGGGAACTTCTTTCCTTCATATCTGAGATACCTGCATCTAAGCTTATTTGTCCTAGCTTCTCTGTATAGTCACTGGGGGGAAAAAAAGGTAATCTGAAACACGATTCATCACCTAAAGAAAGCACCTTTAGGATGTGAGGCATCATGTACTTGAAGCAGGTATTCCTCTTCGCTAACTTCAAAGGGTAACTAAGATGATCAGCTCATATATATGAAGAAAATCTCACTGCTGCTTTCAGTTCAAGTAATCGGGTCCCATACTCCTCTATCATTCTTGTACGTTATCTGCACCAAGAATATTAAAAGACTGGCATAGAAGCAAATTGGTGGGTACTTGCCTTGAGAGTCAGAGAGTTATAGTAGCTGGATGAGGGAGTGGGATGAGACAAGAGCTTTGGTTTCTGCGGGTAGTTAAATTTATATGGCTGATAAAGCATCCAAATGTCAAATCTCTGCCTACAGAAACAGAACGTTCAGGTCATTTGATCCATTGTTAGCTTGTCTATGATCAGAATAACTGGTAACAACTTGGTATTGAATTGACTTTTGGAGTCCTTCACTTTGTTTTAAAAGCAATCTAAAGCAACTGTAAATTTGCAAAGGTGAGATTTTTTTCTTAAATTGAAGTTGCTATTTCAAGCTCTAGCTGTTAGAATGTTAAGTGTGATAGCATAGCCTGTTTCTATATGGTGGGAGTTTTTTAGTTTAAATATCTTTATATTTATTTGCTGGTTCCTGCTTGTGTTCCACATTTCACGTGAGCATAGGTACATTTACATACCTGTCATTACCTATAGATTCCCACGTGATTCTTGATTTGCCCTTTCACTGCATAGTGCTTCCTTCCACAGCTCTTGGTATGTCTCTTATCAAGTACGTGTTTATGAGGGCATGGTTAACTGGAAAAAGACTAAAAGTTGCTAGAAACAAAAGTGAGATCACAGGGTTGGATTTCTGTGACGTGAATGCTGGGGGAGCCAAACGTCTGTCGTGTACCACCACGGGCAGCAGGTACCACTAGTAACGGCCACTTCAGACTGCGTGCTGGGCCCCGCGATGATGCGAAGCGGTTGTACGTAGGTGTAATGTTATAAACACAGCAACTGGGCTCCGATGCTTTAAGGAAAAAGGACCATACAGCCGCTCAGAAGAAGAGGATGCACGCAGCTGCGTGGGCTCTTGGGCACTGGAGGACCGATGACCTTCGTATTAGAAAGCTGCGGTGTCGTGGCATGGGTGTTCGGTGTGTGTCAGTGACGATACGTCGAGTGGTCCAGGGCTTTTTAAAATAAGTATTTTTGTTAGAAAAAAAATCCCTACAGATACTGAAATTGGTAGCTTGTGATTGCGGAGTTGAACAGTTTTTTAATGTAGCGTTGAATCATTTAGATTGCCAATGGTACGTTCCAGTTTATTTTCAGCTGAGCAAGAAGTAAATACATTTGTAATGGAGCCGTGTAATAAATCTGCATTTTGCTATCTTTTTGCATAGATTTTAATTGTGATGATGGTGGT